GGGGCCACCTCCCGCCTGGTGCGCGGCGAGGATGAGGCGGAGGTGGCCCGGAGCCTTCTGGCCCGGCTGGGCATAGAGCCGCTGCCCCTGAGCCGGGGGCTGACGCCGACCGAGCCCACGGTGCTCTTCCAGAAGATGGGCGTCGGCCGGCTGGACATGTACCCGTGCTGTTCCCTGGCTGCACGCCGCCTGCCCGCCTCCTGGACGGCCTGGTCCGCCTGCAGCACTTGGGCTTTCTGCGGGAGCCCGTGGTGACCCCCCAAGACCTGACGGGGCCTCGACGCACCGAGAGCAAGGAGAGTGTGGGCTCCCGGGACAGCGTGAGGAGAGAGGGCCGGACTGCGGTGCCTGCCAGGCCTGCCCAGGAGCGCTCTGGGGTGGCCCGGAAGGAGCCACCACGACCCGAGGCCTCTCGCAGGGCTGAGAAGGAAGCAAGGCACCCCAGGGAGGTGAAGAAGGACCCCAAACCAAGTGTCCCCCGGACCCAGCCCAGGGAGTTGTCCCGGGCATCCTCTGCTGTGGTCAGTGGCAAGAAGGCAGGTGCCCAGGCAGCCCCCAAGCCCCGAAGAGCACCGAACAGTGACCGCCCGGGTGTCCCATTGGCGGGGAATGGGCCCCAGAGCCCCCCGACCTTCCGGTGTGGAGAGGCCAGTCCCTCCATAGAGGCCTGCAGCTCTCCTGTCCCCCAGCTGGCGGCCACCCCCACCCAAGGGAGCAGCCTGGAGCTGGTGCTGAGCCCCACAGGGGAGGACAGTAGCAGCGTAAAGACTCAAGAGCAGCTGGCAGCCAGTGGCACCCCCCCGCCCTGCACCCCCTCGCCAGCTGGAGCTCCCCAGGGCCCAGCTGAGGGTAGCAGGCAGCTGTCACTGAGCCCCCTGCGTGGTGGGGAGGCGGGGCCAGATGGCTCCCCCACGGTGACCACGCCTTCCCTGCCGGCTGAGGTGGGCTCCCCGCACTCCACAGAGGTGGACGAGTCGCTGTCCGTCTCCTTTGAGCAGGTGCTGCCCCCGCCCCCCGTTCCCATGAGCGAGGCAGGGCTGAGCCTCCCACTTCGAGGCCCCCGGGTGCGGCGCTCGGCCTCCCCCCATGACGTGGACCTGTGCCTGGTGTCGCCCTGTGAGTTTGAGCACCGCAAGATGGTGCCCATGGCGCCGGCCCCCGCGTCCCCCGGGAGCTCCAATGACAGCAGCGCCCGGTCCCAGGAGCGGGCAGGTGCTCTGGGGGCTGAGGAGACGCCGCCTACATCTGTCAGCGAGTCCCTGCCCACGCTGTCCGACTCGGACCCCCTGCCCGCTGCCCCTGGCACTGCAGACTCAGATGAGGACATGGAGGGCTTTGGAGTCCCTCGTCACAACCAGCTGCCCAACCCCCTCAAGGTTCCCCCACCGCTGCCAACCCCACCCAACATCTGCATGGTGGATCCAGAGCTGCTGCCCCCCGAACAGGCCCGGCTGAAAGAGAGCCTCAGCCATACCCGGAAGCCCCTGGCTCGCCCCACCTCCAGCACTGCCACCTCCAAATCCACTCCAGCAATCGCTGCCAAGACCAAGGGGCTGGCTGGCAGGGACCGCGCCAGTCGGCCGCTCAGTGCCCGAAGCGAGCCCAGTGACAAGGGCGGTCGGGCACCCCTGTCCAGAAAGCCCTCAGTCCCCAAGATGACCCCTCGGGGCCCAGCCGGTAAGTACCGGGGCGCTGGAAATCTGCATTGGGTTACCAGCCCAAGTTCTGTTCCTAGTGCTGTGTGGCCTTAGTCACACTTGCCACCCTCTCTGAGCCTCAGTTTCCTCTCTAAAGTAGGGGTGCACCAGTGATCCCAGTTGCTCAGTGGAAACATACAGTGAGCACCTACGTCATAGATTTGCTAGTAGCCACAGTGCCATAGTGAGGGAAAAGAAACGGGTGAAGTTAACAGGATATTTTACATAACCCTTTGTGTTGAGGCTCTTATGACCAGGCCCAGGTTGATGATTGGCTGGGAGGACACAGCTCGGTCGGCTACCATATATGAGAGTTCACAGCACACAGAGCAGGAGCTGCAGAGGGAAAAGATGGGTTGGGGGCTGCTCCCCGCTCTCCTTCCCTCCTCCATCCGTGACCCTGTCCACAGGCTTCCAGAGTCCCCTCCCAGTGGGGTCCCCTACCATGTGCTTAGCTCCTGAGAAGCAAGCTGTGATGACATGGGAGATGTGGCCGCCACTGGGAAGGCCCATCGGACTCAGCCGTGGGGTTTCAGTTGGGGGCTCATCCCATCAGCATCCTTGTCTGGCTTGTACCATAGTCCAGACTCCTCAGCAAGGGGAAGCCAGTGTTCATCTTAAGCCACGTTGCTATAGGAACGGTGTTCGTTTATGGAATGTTGGAGCTCTTCGGAAATCTGTTCCCAGGTGCCAGCCCAGGCCTTCCTAAGGACCTTTTCCAGGTTTCTCTCACTGTGATGAGATACAGAACATGAAACTTCCCACCTTAACCATTTTGAAGTGTCCAGTTCAGTGGCAGTAAGTGCATTCACACTGCTGTGCAGCCCTCACCACCGTACACTTCCAGAACTCCACCTTGCGAAACAGACTGTCCCCATTAAACACCAACTCCCCCTCCTCCTCCCCGTCCCCAGCCCGACGTCCACCGTCCTGTCTGTCTCTGGATCTGACTCCATTAGGGATTTTATAGAAGTGGAATCAGTGTTTATCCTTTTGGTGACTGCCTTATTTCACTTAGCATAATGTCCTCATGGCTCATCCATGGTGTAGTATGTGTCAGAATTTCCTTTTTTTGTTAATCTTCATTCAAGGACATTTTTTCCATTGATTTTTTTAGAGAGAGGGGAAGGGAAGGATGAAGGGGGAGGGAGAGAGAGAAACGGGATTGAACCTGCAACTAGGGATGTGCCCTTAACCAGGAATCAAACCCACAACCCTGTGGTTCTAACCACTGTACACATGGGCCAGGGCAGAATTTCCTCCCTTTTTAAGGCTGAATAATGTTCCATTGTACAGATGGACTGACCACATTTGTTTGTTTATTCGTTCATGGACACTACGGTTGCGTCCACCTTTTGGCTGCTATAAATAATGCCGCTATGGGCATAGATAAACATCTCTTCAAAGACCCTGCTTTAAATTCTTTGAGATAAATACAGAAGTGGAATTGCTGGATCATGTGATGATTCTGTTTAGTTTTTTGAGGAACCTCCATATTGGTTTCCATAGAGGCTCCACCATTGTACATTTCCACTAACAGTATACAAGGGAGCCAGTTTCTTTCTTTGTTTTTGAACATATTTGTAAAGGGCCCAGCACAGTTCTGGGCAGATAGCACTCCACAAAAATGCCCTCTTATTGTTTCCGATGGAGAAACATTGATTTGTTGTTCTGCTTATTTATGCATTCATTGGTTGCTTCTTGTATGTGCCCTGACCAGCGTTCAAACCCCCAACCTTGGTTTATTGGGATGACACCCAACCAACTAAGCTACCCGGCCATGGCCACAAGGGTTCCAATTTTTCCACATTCTTATCAACACTTATTTTCTGCATTTAAGAAAAAAATTTTTTTCACTTGGATTGCACACAGCTCCCAATCGCCCACTGGGCAGGCTCCCTTCCCGCAGGCCACTCTATATATTTTTTATAACAATTTATTGTAGGAAGATTGGTCAGAACAGAAAGTAACCCCACAGTCTGCACAGATAATCTCTGCTGCTAGACTGTTGTTACAGTAAATGTTTATAGTATAGCTGAACTACTAATGATGGACAAGACAAAAGGACCGTACCTTCTGGTGGTCTTACGATGGGTACTCCTTTACAGTTAACACCAGTTTGATATTTAGCTTGGTTGCTGTGCCATTCTGGCCTTTTGCTGCTGGGAATCTTTATGGTCACATTATATAAGCTTATCAAACTCGGCTGGTCATTAATGGTGAGGCTTTGGTGCTGGCTGAGTCTAGTTTGGTCAGGTTCAAAACATGGAAATTTGAAAAAAATCAGGGGCACACACAAAAATGAAGTCAGCTTTGTTTACATCTACATCTATAAAGAGAAAGTTTTGGCCCTGACAGGTTTGGCTCAGTGGATAGAGCGTCGGCCTGTGGACTGAGGGGTCCCAGGTTCCATTCTGGTCGGGGGCATGTACCTTGGTTGCGGGCACATCCCCAGTAGGGAGTGTGCAGGAGGCAGCTGATCGATGTTTCTCTCTCATCGATGTTTCTAACTCTCTATCCCTCTCCCTTCCTTTCTGTAAAAAAATCAATAAAATATATATAAAAAAATAAAGAGAAAGTTTTGGAAGCTGCCTTCGGCAC